ACAACGCCAAAACATTTAAAGCAACTGAGAAAGCGCTGAAGGGGATTTATGAAAGTAAAGGGTAGTTGGTGTGCACATCTTATGTTTAGAATAAGATTGACATCTATTCCAGACGAAGGAATTCTGCATACTATTAATGACGAAGATGAAGAAGAGGTCAAGCGTAGGTTTAGGTATTTAGCGAGATTAAGAAAGCATTTTTGGTCCAGGTGGAGGAAGGAATACTTAACAAGTTTAAGGGAGTGTCACAAGGTTGGCAAAGTAAAGGGTAGTTTGTGTCCGAAAGTAGGTGATGTAGTTCTTGTGTTTCAGGAAAGTTTTAAAAGAGGATTTTGGAAAATAGCGAGAATCGAGAGATTGCTCAAGGGAAAAGATAATATAGTCAGAGGAGCGGAAGTCAAATTTGTTAGCAAGAGAAGGCCACTGCACATAAGCAGGCCTCTTCAAAAACTGTATCCACTGGAGATGGATGCAAAGGTAAGTAAAGACAGATGTTTAGAAATAGAGAAACAAGAAAGTAGTGAGAGAAGAGAACTTTCAGAAAATGGTAGCAGTGTAGAAAGTCATAGGAGACCCAGAAGGGCGGCAGCTGTGGATTCATGTTATCGAACAAAAATTTTGTTTGACCCTAAAGGCTCAAAGGAGGGAGTGTGTCGAAACTTATGTAAATAAGTAAAAGATAATTGTTATTTGATACTAGGAACTTATGAAAGAACAGAAAAAGGAACTTATGTTAATACTTTATTAGTTGTGACACGTTGTAAGTCAGGCTTCTTCTGTCGCTGGCTGTGAATGTAAAAGCTTGAAATGTTTAATATAATCTGTGATGTGGAATAGCTATATTTGAATAGTCATATTGAGTAAAATTGAGAATTGTGTGTCGACTGCGCGTACAGTAGGATAGCATACAGTCCCAAAAACGAATCGGCAGACTCATAACTGTTTTGCGCTAAAGCGCAAAGAAGAAAATTGCTACACGTTCTGTAACTAAAGCGACTCTCTTCTCTCTAAGCCTTAGCAAAATATGAAAGAGCAATGGTGCCAATTTGGGTACTACATGCTAACAGTCGTTGAGCGAGGAGGCTTTGAGTGACTCTTTGTACGACGCATCATAAACAACTCTTACCTTACTTGTTTTCGCTTCCCTGCAAATAACCGCATGATGTGGTAAATAATTTATTTTATCAGCTTTCTCTAGTTCTATCACTGGCTCTATAATACCCCTCCTCAATTGATATTTGATTGTCTTATCATACTCTTCCAAAATTTCTGGTTCCCTTTTCAGCCGTACTAACTGACCCTTTAATTTCCGGCAACTTCGCAATGACTTCCGGTACTACGATTGAAGAATATACGACTTCGTCCACTCCTAAGGCCTTTAAAACTTGGTAGCTTGTCTCGCAGGTGTCGTATAACCGCCAAAACTTGTCGATGTCTCTATCGCCCGTTAAGGATTTTACGTTCATTAACTCCTGTATATGCGCTTTCTGGATCACGTTCTTTTTCCTGTTACTTCGTTTCAAAAATTCTACGGCTTCATGATAGTTCGCTGAAGTTAGGGCAAATCCCAATATTGTTGATCTTGTAGGTTAGAGTAAGAGACTCTTTAAATACGCAAACTTGTCTACGTCAGCCAATCTGTCAATATTATTCACCGCACTATCAAACAAATCCCAAAATTCTTGCCATTCCTGCAACCGTCCGCTAAATTTCTTAACTTCCAACTTTGGGAGTTTTGCTCTTATAACTCTGCGCGTTTCACTGCTCAAACTGCTGTTCAGCGTGCCATTTAATGTCGTTGTTGCCGTTTCAACTGTGACATTAGACTCCTTGACGATGTCGTTCACATCCAAAGTTGCTCGTATGAATTCTGCCCGTATCTCGTCCGCATCTTCAATTTCTTTTCACAATTCTTCTTCCGCATTTTCCTCATTGCTTTCGCTCAGCATATTGATTATTGCGTGGTCAAGGATTTTCAATGTTGCGATTTTGTCGTTCAATCCATCTCGTAGTTGTCTCAGTTCGTTTTTATCGATCTCGCCGTCCGTTTCTCGTATTTTCTCTTTTAATTTACTAGCAATTTCTCTCGCTGATCTTCTATGTCCTGCGCGCACTCGTTTATTCCTCATAAATTCATCCATTCTGCTATTGGACTAACAAACTTGAATTTCCAAAAAATAGATCTCTGACTCGAAGGACCACGTGTAGCAATTTTCTCCTTTGCACGTTAGCACAAAACAGTTATGTGTCTGCCGATTCGTTTTTGGGACTGTATACTATCCTACTGTACGCGCGGTTGACACACAATTCTCAATTTTACTCAATATAACTATTTCACATCACAGATAACCTTAAACATTTCAAGCTTTTACATTCACAGCCAGCGACAGTAGAAGCCTGACTTTCAACGTGTCAAAACTAATAAAGTATTAACATAAGCTCCTAGTATCAAATAACAATTATCTATTACTTATTTACATAACTTCCGACATGTTCTAACCGAATACTTTTTACCATAATGCGTGCGCATGGGTTTTTGACATTTAATTTGCAGCAACTGAGGTTGTTTTAATTTGCAGCAACCAGTTTTTTTAATTTGCATCAAGTATTTTGTTTTAATTTGCAACAACATTTTTTTAAATTAAGTTGCAGAGACTTTTTTGCTATAATTGTTTAAATGCAGCAATAAATTTTGTTAATAGCGTGTCCCCTTTGGGCCAAGGTATTTGATAGTAAACGCTTTGCTCAATGGTTGCAAGTGATCGAAAGTATTTTGTACTTCCTGTTCATGCATTTTGTATTTTGACACGTATCATATTTCACTAGATGTAAATTATAAACCACATAAATAATACTTGTATTTCGCACAATTTTCGAAAGCAAAATTAATTTATTTGCTTTCGGCATTTGATTAAACTACTCTAACTCTGGATGAGTAAATCGAGCGATGTATAAGAAATGCGAATAATACCAATTGGACCTATTGCCAGACAGTAAATTGTATTATATACATGACTCAGAGATCAGCATGTGACATAGACGGCTTAATCGCTGCTTAATACACGGCCATAGAAAGTTGTTGTATAAAATTGTCTCGTACAATCTCATACAAACGCATAAAATCCTCTTTTAATATTTTTAGATCACCAAACCTTTGAGAAGTAATGGTGAAAACGTTATATCGATCTGACTTCCCATCATCTAATGAGCTTTGATATGCGCTACCTAACGTTTGGGTTTTTGTCCTATTTTTTATCATTTTATATTACCAATATTTAATTATTATCATTTTTTAAGTTAATATTCGAATATAAAATCTATCATTAATTTTCTCAGTTTGTGAATTGTGTATAATTTGCTGCGCAAGGCAAAATTATTTGTGCTTGTAATATGATAATAACATTTATAGCTGAAGAATACACGTGAACAAAGTCATGATTAGGTAGATCTAAAACGTCGTAATAACGTTTGTACAAAACGTCGCCGAAACGTTCGTAATGAACGTTGCCATGACGTTTCTGAGAAAAGTTCAATGGTTTATATTCCATGCAGCATTGTAAAAAAACCTTCTTAATATGAAATTACTCTGTAGAATGTTATAAATTGTCTCAAATATCTTTCGGTGTAAATGCAAACCCCAAAACAAAGCAATAACGGATTTTGACCAACGTTGTTAAGACGTCGTGAGAACGTCTTTCCCCAACGTTGCTCACAACGTTGTCACGACGTCCGCTCGAGTTCACAAATTTCCGTTTTTAAGATGTTGTAGCAAAACGTTTTCGCAACGTTAACCCGATCTTGCTACGACGTTTCCACAACGTCTTTGTGCTAGCTGGTTATAACTAATGCATGGAAGTGGTAACATCGATAATTGGGAGGCTTATATTCATTTATGTATGTTAATCTCTATAAAACAATGGATTTCAATTGAGAACTAAAAGATGTTTACTGCAATTGCACAGGCTTATGCAAACTGAGGAGACCTTTGAGAGAACTCGAGTCAGTGCAAGCCCTAGACCGAAGGTTGAGAATATGATCGCTAAACAGAATATTACGTATGTACTGCATAAAGCAAACTTCATCTTATTATTTTACTAAGCCAAGACGTGACTTCTTTCAATTTTAATGCAAAAGGGCAAGAAAGTTGTCGTAAATATGCCTCTGCTTTCGAGCTGCAACTTCATGAACTTGTTTATAATGTTAGTTTATAAAATAAACACAATGAAATGCGCACGCCTATTGGTCTAGAGCTGCGTTTGCTTCAGCCTGTGCAAAACAATCTAAGCTCAACCAATCAAATCAATCAGTCAATCAAAGAGAATTTGCAAATCAATCTTGAATACACTTTGGAAGAATATTAGAACGTTTTGCTTGTTGCGCATTATTGTTATTTTATAAAAGAAATAAAGTTTTTTTTTGTGTTTGCAGTTGTTTATGCAATCCTCGCAGATTCTTAAGCAGGTGCAACCCTCGACCTTTGGTCTCCAGCTTGCACTGATCTGCTCTTAAGTTCTCCCAAAGGTCTCCTCGATTTGCATAAGCCTGTGCAAACACAGTAAACATCTTTTATTTCTTAAATGATTATATAGGTACTTCACAAAGATAGCTTGTACAAGTTTCATTGAGACAGCACACACACCAAGTAATGTAATGTAAAAATCGTCGTTATCAACATAACGTTATACGATTGTCGATGTTCAAGTGCACTTATTACGTATCGAATTTATTACACAAAACACCTGCTTGCTTATATGCTTTCAACTTAACGTAGTTGCTCAAGATATTTTCTCAGAGAAGCCAAAAGTTTCATTGAACACTGTAAAATAACGTTTAGAATCATTATTGCTATTTCGCAACGTTGCACTTGCGACGGGGGTGCTACAATATGCATCTCTTTAGCTCTTCATAACAGTTCAAGAAAAAAGTTATTTTGGTGCTTTGTGGCTCGTTCGATTTACCATTAGCTAAAGCTACATAAAAAGCAAAAATTGTATACTCACGTGCACTCGGTGGTGTTGGATCCATCACCAATGTCGTACTTTTTCAAAAACAAGCCGGTAATACTCGCTTGTAGTGATAAATTCATTTCAAAAAGAATGCTAGAAATGAAAACAATGTTATGCTGCATGATCAGAAACAAATTAACCACAGGGACCCTATAGACAGAATGTGCTTATTGCTATTATTTTGATGTCTTCTCCGATTGAAACGTGCCCATAAACTTTGGAGGGAAAAAGTTGTAGTAGCAAATTGGCTATTAGTGTATCTATGAAATTCGAAGATAGCATAAATTATACACAGAAATACACCAATGCTCAGAAATACACCGTTGTGCTTAGTAACTTTAAGTTACAGCTCATCGTCGTTGAATCGGCATCAAAATTTGTTTGGTAAAATGCTTTCCTTTAACGGTTTCTAGAACTTTAGCTACAAATAGTAATACGTTTAGATATACCTTCATGTACCCTGACTTTATAAGTATACTTTTGCATTGTGGAATAATCACGATTTAACATGATAAAACAAAGAGGCTTACAAATTACGTATCTTGTTTGTTCAATTTTAGCTGTCCACAATAGAAATGGCCGTCGCATGCAACTCAGTAAAAGATCACTTAGTTTGTGTGTCATCCCTATCAATTGTAACTATTCTGCAAGAAAACTACATGTTTTTATTTGTCAAACATATTCACCCATAGTTAAAAAGCAGGTCATTAAAATAGGATGTTAAAATAAATCCGCGGATGACAGAAAACCAACTTTTAGCTCGTCATTTTTAGCTCACCATAAAGAATGTACTTGTCATTGCTATCTTGTTTGTAGTCAGGTATTGTTTACATATGCAGTGCAGAATTACCAAAGACCAAACAAACTGTTTTTAACTATGCAGGGCAATTCAAAAAAGGCAGTAGCTTATTAGCTAGTTTTGAATATCTGCTTTCTTTCGCAATAAAAACTGTTTGGCCTCTGGGAATTGAAAACATGTAATTATGACTACCATCAGTTCAAATGCACAACCATTTAACTTAATAATATCAGCGTTATCTCTGTCCAAGAACGTATTTAGCAAACAACTTTGAATTTAAGTACATTTAAAGTTTCATCTATATTTAAAACACATACATTGCAGTGTTTTAATTAAATCGACAAAATTTAAATGCCTCGAAACTTTACAAAATCAACATCTAAAGAACCATCCTTACAAGAAAGCTAAATTACATACATTAACTTTTTTACGATAAACTTGTTAACTCGGATTGTATGAAGCATGCATATTGTATATCATCATTTTTTGCAATTTTCTTCAATTCGATGAAGCGCTATGGTTAACATTTTCTGCTTCTATAAAGAATTCACAATCTTTTAGATCGAGCATTTTTAATGCTTTATCCAATTTTAAGCATAAATAGTATTCCTTGAAATCTTCGCAGTTACCATTATTGTCATACTTATAACAATCGTCGTCATCATCACCATCATCGTCATCCTCATCATCAATTTTGCACACGCCATATGCAAATGGCCGCCAAAGATCTTTTCTATCTTTGAAATAGACAAGAGTTCCTGAGTCACCTTTCTCCAGAAATGAGGCACTACTCTTTACCTTGACGGCATTTTTGAAAATTGTCGTTGAAGAAGCGTCAATGTACGAAAAATTTCGTTCAATGATAAAACCAGTGACGTGATTACTGGTACGAACGTTTACAAGACCTTTATTGCTGTTTGCTGTTTTGTAAAGCTCTTCGTTTATTTCTTTGAAATTCAAAGCAAGATTTTTCATATTATCTCCACCTAGACGCTGAAAATTGTCTTTATTTCCAACTGGAATACACATGATATCTGCTTCACTGTTAAACTTACTAACAGTGTCGCAGGGAACAGTACTCAGTTGTATTTCCTCTTTGGAGTTGTGTGGATGGTAGAAATACATGTTAACATCATTTGCATTTCTGGTATTTATTACATCGGTTATTTTTGGAACATCATTTTGTAAATCTTTGGTGTCACAAGCAACATGCCCGCAGGTTAATGCATAGTAATTTTCATTTTGACGACAGAACATTGTCAAGGCACCGCAACACTTATTGTCATCACTAAATTTCTGCGACAAATTTGATGAACTATTCCTGGCACGAACATGACCTAACAATATAAACCTAAATGATGAAGATGATGTACGACGAAATTCGATGAATGTTGAAGCTTTCCATCCAAATTCTTTATCGATCCTTTCTTTTAAAATTTCTTCATAGATTCTTTCTTGTTCATGAACTGTGACATAAAGATGTTCAAATGGCATGTTTTTGTTTTTATCTTTATTCACTATTCCATACGCTCCATGTATCCCAAAGACTCTAAAAAGTTCAGAATAAAGAAGGACGTAAACATGTTAAGTTGTTTGAGTTTCATAACGTGTTGCAACCGTTTACAGACAAAAAGAAGATTTCAGTGTGTAAGATGCGGAAGAATGGTTTGCTGGAAATGTTTTGCATTGAGGTGAAATAATTTTCAAAACTGTGTATAAATAAAGACAAAAAATGGTTAAGGAAACCAACAATAAACATTTCTTTATGTATAGTTCTTCATATCAACTATGCATTATAAAAAATTGCATTAGTATGTTGATTAAAATGTCTAGCTTTCAAAGAGGTGATATCAATACAGCATAATGAATTCTTTTTTCCTCATAGCTGTAGATAATTTAACGACCAAAGAATTCTTTACACATGCAATCTTACAATTTGAATATATCGTGAATGTCGTCTCGAATGTTGTAATCTTCGTCAAGAAACATATCTCTGAAGACTTCTTTGAATATATCGTGAATGTCGTCTCGAATGTTGTAATCTTCGTCAAGAAACATATCTCTGAAGACTTCTTCATAGTTCGACGAAATTACACATGGAAGGCCCTCTAGGTATGACAGGTCAAAAATTGAGCAGCTATAATTTATATAAAATGTAACCAAAGGTTATATTTAAGTGCATGAGAAAAAGAAAAAAAAGTTAAGGATATCCAATTAATATATATTACATTTAATTAAAACATCTATTACTTTCCAGTGGATGCTGGCACTCCTTTTTTTCATCCTTTCAAGGTTTACAGTAATACAAAAAATCAAAGCATAGGATAAGTAATTAAATTTTGATGCAGTTTTAGGCACATGAGAAATATGGGGCTTAGACGAGCTTTGATCTCGGTTATGTTATATATGATAGTATAAGCATGTCCTATCCTACACTTTTTTTAAAAACACTTTGATAATTAACAGGGGATGCTATACATATACCTCGTAAATATTCTGAAGCATCTCCAAAGCAAAAATTGGACAAAACACGAAATAAAGTTTTCACAGTAGAATTTTTTCCGGTATTTCTTTTCCAATGTTGAAAAACTTGAATTGCTTTTTCTTCCACTTCATATTCATCGTGGTTTATAATGTCTAATCTATCACCAGGTATTACTAGGTTTCTCCCAAGCTCTTTCCATTGAGTACTTAGTTTTTTACCAATTTCATGGACAAGATCATCTTTGGTAACACCGATCGTTTTTGTACCATCTTTATGTTCTACATATATACGTATTAAGCATGAGTTCCTATGGATTGCATTTTTAATTTATGATCACTTTTAATTTTAGTAATAACATGACTAATATATTTCTATATTTTATATGAATAATTAAACTTTATCTTTAGATACTACGTTCGTTGCATGCCAATGTCGTTGAAAGGACTTAATTACTTCAATTATATTACTCATATTTTTGCATAGCGATAGAACATGAAGTAACGCAATATTAAAGGACTACCGCTACAAACGCTCTTAACGTCAATATACATTGCATCCAATTATTTCTAAACAAAAAGTACGTGTTTGTGAAAGCATTTCTTATACATTCACTTTAACACAACTGCTTACGAAACAAGTGAACATATAAAGGATTCCATTTAAGAATAATTGCTGCTATTTCAAACTACTGCGTTTGCATTGAGAACTCACGAACCATGGCATCTCTTACAAAGCAGCACTTAACAAGAAAGCATTCGCTTCTTTCGTGGTTTGGTAGATTACATACAAGTCAATAATTTACACTCACTTTCCAATATTATTTCCATCACCAGTATCGTGTTTTCAACAACAAGGTGTCCATAATCGCCTTTGACAACAAAGTCCTTTTTAAAAGAAACTTTAGAATATGCTAAGAATCAATACAAAAATGTTATGCTGCATGATTAGAAACAAATTAACCACGGGAGACCATATTGAATAGCTCAAATTAATGCAATTACCTTAATATTTTGCCACGTCTAACTAACTGACGAATCAAATATGAAAAATTGCAGTAAAAATTTTCTACACTGTATTTGAAACAAACAAAATAGCCATTGGTAGATAGCATGAGTAATACACAGAAAAAACACCAATTGGTACACGTAATAATGGTATTAATAACTTTTTCCGCGTTAATCCAAGCGCATTGAATTCGTTTGGCGAAATACTCTCTACTCTTGGTATAGGTTTCTTTTTTCTGATAAGAAAAATCTTCTCTTATTGTAAGGTTTGATAGTTTCAACAATTATATCATTAAAAAACTTTCTTATAAAGCAAGTAATACATCTGGTCAGTCAATCAAATTATGAAATATGGACATGCTCGTGAGAACTGACTTTATAAACATATTAATATATTGAATATGCACAATCTTACGTGATCTTTTATAGGTTTACAAATTACAATAATAGTAATACATTCGTTAAATTATAGACTGTACGTTCATGATATTATTTACGGATCAACCACAAGTCTCCACTGTCATCAAATATTTCATCAAATATTGTTTGCCAAACTATACGAATCATCTGCACTAAACCATTGTGTTTATAAACTTTTCAATGATATCATAAATCTTCTAGAAACTTTGGATCAAAAATTCTTACTATACAATGTTTCAACTTAAATAAATTGATTTTCTAAATAATTAAATTGTGCATTATACAAATCTATAGTAAGTTTACAGTTTGTTTTCTAAGTTCAATAAACACTGAAAATTACTAATATGTTTCCACACAAAGACTGGTTAATAAATGAATGCAAAAGAACAGTTTAGGAACTCAATTCTTCACGTGACAAAGAACAAAGGCAATTCTTCTTAAAGAACTTACAGTCCTTGAGATCTAGCATCTTCAAAGTTTTATCCAATTTTAAACACAAAAAGTGTTTCTCGGTAGTTTCAATATCATCATCACCATCATCATCATCAACTATTTCGCACACAGCATAAGCAAATGGCTGCCAATTATTTTCCCGATCTTTGAAATAAACGAGACTTCCAGAGTCTCCATTCTGTAGAAAGGAATCCATACTTTTTACCATCACAGCATTCTTGAAAATAGGTTTTAAGTTTCCGTCAATGCAGGAAAAGTTTCGGTCACTAATAACACCTGTGATGTGATTACTTGTACGAACTTCCACAAAACCTTTATTGCTGTTTGCTGTTTTGTAAAGCTCTTTGTTTGTTTCTTTTAAGTCCAAAGAAAAATTTTCCATATCATCTCCACCGAGATGTTGGAAATCTTCTTTCTTTCCAATTGGAATATACATCATATCAGATTCACTGTCAAACGTACTGACCGTGTTGCAAGGAAAACCACCCAGTTGTCTTTTCTCGTCAGAGTTAGGAAGCTGGTAGAAATACCTGTTACCATCATTCTCATTTCTAGCATTCACGTTATCAATTATTATCGAAACCTCATTTTCCTGACCAAATGCTTTTGAGACAGAAAGTTGGTCTGTAACACAAGCAACATGTGCACAAGTCAATGCATAATACATTTCTTTTTTGCAACAGAACATTGTCAGAGAGCCGCAAGAAATATCGTTCATGTGAGAAATATGATTATTCCGAGAACTAGTGCTATTTTGAATCTGTATGTCGCCATTTATTGGCAAGATACCATCCTTAGCACGGAGATTGGATGAAAATAAGAACTTTCGTTTCTTTGGTTGTTTATACCGGAATTCAATAAACTTTGAAGTTTCCAATCCAAACTTTTCATCCATCTCATTTCTTAAAATATCTTCTGATTTGTTTTCCTTGTTATCAACTGTGACATACAAATGTTCATATGGCATCTTTTTGTTTTTATCTTTATGCACGATACCATAGGCTCCAGTAATCCACAATATTCTAAAAAATATTGATCATAAAAAATCATAAAAAGGAATTTAAAATTATTTTATGGTCAAGTTTCACAGTTATTGTGTATGTAGTTAATATCCTCATAACCAGCCTTAACACAATATAGCATGCCACTTTATTATTCTGGGAATTATTCTCCAGTTCTCTAAACAAAAAATACTCACTCTTTTAATTTGTTATGGACCTCGTCTCGAATGTTGTAGTCATCGTCCAGAAAGCATTTTTTCCATTCAGGGAAAACGACTTCTTCCTCTGAACTGTTTTCATCGGCATTGTCACCATTTTTGGAATTATCAACATAACCTGGGCCTAAAATTAAGATAGTTAAACAACACTCGTCTTTCTCACGCTTGAGAGTGTTCGCAGTATTTGAAAATGACATTCTCAACAGGCCAAAATTTTATTCAAATCCATTTTACCGATCACCATTTTACTCATTATATCATTTCTTGTATAGATACATAGGCATGTTTTATATCAAATGCAAACATATAAAAATCTCCTTTATTTTTATTTAGAATTACTTTGATCTACATCCTATTCATGATCTACATCTATATTACATCCATGATCAACATTGGGATTTAAAATGTGATCTAAATTCAATCATACCTTCATATTTAATAGCTTCATAAACTGGTTCAAAGTCATTCGCCTAAAAATTACAGCGTTTAATTTATAAGCCAACTAGTGCTGATTTATGCCCTATGGACATGCATGCATATGTGTGAAATGGCTTTCCTTGAAAGACACATTTTAATTTTGCCACCATAAATCATGCACTTATTACATATACCAGCTATCTTTTAAGGATATAAGTTTAACTTTAAAAGTGATAAACTTGATTAGCTTCTTAAAGTAAGTGTATAAATAGGCAAAGCCTTAGCCAAGTTGCACATGAGTTTTGAATTTGTTAAATACTTGGCAACATTACCCCAAATTTATGACTGCTAAAACTGTTTCTTTTAACAGTATTTTTACATCTGAAGCAGTGTATGTTTGTTTTAATCAAATACAAAATGTATTTTCTGGTAAAGTGTTTATTGCTTGTTTCTCTTAAAAATTTACCTGATTTTTAAGTTTAGAATACATTAGCTACAGGTCAGAATACATACACTGCAACAAAAGCGTGAGAACAAAAATACAAATAGCTACACAAATAGCTACGTTTAATGTTTCTTCCACTTTCATCAGCATCGTGCCTTAGCAAAGCAAACTTTTCCTCTACATGATGCAATATTTACCTTAAAGTACAATGTCTCCGCTATTTGCTGTGCCTGCTCTTGAGTTACACGTTTTGTTTTGACGCACTTTGCAAGTAGAGCTAGTATAACCTCTTTTTCTGTCATTCTTTTCAAGTCTCTATCCATGCTCTCGTCATCAATACTTAAGGTCTCTGAAACTTAGGTAATTAATAAAGGTAATTAACACGGGAAAAAAGCACAAGCGATTTTTTAGCATCAGGAGTGACTGGTATCAAAACATATACCAAAATTTCCCGACCCACTAAAGCGGTTATATGAATAACAAAATTACTGCAATCTGGATTTTTTTTAGCAATATATCAATTGGAGAAAGCCAATTAATTCATGCCAAACCTTAAGGTAAATAAAAGTAATTTTTTATGTTTTTAACTTCTACTTTACTTTTGAGTGATCGAGTTAACAGTCGCAAAGTAAAGCCTGAAAATTTGGATTAATTCAACTTTTTATGCTATGTACCATCTTGATCTTAAAAAAAAATCTAATGAGACTACATCAGACTTTCCAAACTACATCTTCCTTTCCAAATTAAGGCTTTCCGAAATGTTTGTATTATTATGTTACATGAAAAATAATATACCTTAAAGTTTTTTAATTCAAAGTCAGGCATCATACCGTCACAATCGCCTTCATCCTTTTGTTCCCTGATATCCATGAAAGTATACTGATAATTATTGATAATGTATTTATTATAGCAATCTTCCATGATCTTCCATGATCTAACAGTTGCATAATCATAAACACGATCTATGTCGCTCTGAAAATAAGAGAGTTTCAACTATAACGATTGATATGCTTAGAGGAAAATAAATTCTTAACATAAACACGATCATCCATAAATCTGACTAATGATGCTCAATTGAATAAGGAGTTTGAACACAGATACAAATTTTAAACAGCTTACAAAGCGTAATATTACAGTGTGTTGATGAGAAAATGTTTCTAATTAGTACATTTTATTGTGCTATGCATTATTTCCTTGAACATTGTACATATATTACCTCTTCTATAGGTCATATGATTGTGAAAAACAATGATTTGCTAGGGGAAAACTTACACTTATGTGAGTCGCAATGCGCGTTATTTACCCATTAGAAGCTATTAACATTCGCTAGTCTCACTCAATACAAGAAATCCTCTAACCCTAACATATCTAATCAGCACAATTCCAGATACCCTGCGTGATTTGATGACTTTCACACCTTATAAATGCCCTTCATGTAAATCATACAACCCTCTAATCAATGAAAGTTTTTTTAGTTCACAAACTGAATCTTTCACTCATAGTTCAGAGAAGCTCATTAGCTTTTGAAACTTTTTAAAATCTGTCGTGTTTTTATCGTAGTCTAATTTTCTTTGAATTTGACAAGTATAAATAGTGTATGCATTCATACTTTTATATTGTGACTAAATTCATATGATTCTAAAGATGTCTTTTGTCAAGACGAAGTGTCGCCATTAACTTAAATCAAAATTAATATCAAATGGCGTTGTTTCTGCTCTCTTAGACTCTTTCTCAGTGCATTTTTATAATAAGGAGAAACTAAGCTCACATCACTCAAGTCTTCATATTTAGGGTTGAAAATTTCAAGTAAATTGTGCACTATATCCAAGGGAGCATCCTCTGTCTTTAGAAGGCGATAAGTGACATCTGTATTAGATTCAAACTCAAAATCAATTCCTTCAGCAATTAGCTGCTGGGGGAGTCCAAATTGTTTATGATTGA